TATTATTTTATTCGAATTCTTATTGATCAATGCTAATTTGGTATTATCATTCGTATCATTTTGTAATTTGTATTATTTTATATTTATTAATATAAACAACATATACATATATATTGTCGAGTTTAAATATACTTATTATTAGATCGATTATAAATGAAAAAGAAAATATAAGTTATTAGAATGACACATAATAATATAACAAACAAGTGGCAGAGAGAAGCCACAAATGTACTGCGAATTGACATTAAAGCATTCGGAATGGGAGAGCAAAGCACGATTAGGCAGTGACAGCTAAACGATAATTTCGCGCAATGGTTCGACGGATCACTAAATGAACCAACAGGTTCAAAACCGATACAATATCCTCTATATTTTCGAATGAACCGTCAAACGAATCACCACCACTACATTGCATCGACCTCGATTGATTTGAGTTTTGTATATGTGAGAACCGAGCTATTACCATATACAATTATTCCTTATATATATATGTAAATATATGTGCATATGTATATGCCTGTATGTGCATTTATTGAGAAAATTTTACCATGTATTCGTCTTCGCATACATAATATATTTGTAGGTGTATGTATGTTAATGTGCATGTATATTTCTATATCATATGTAGAGATAAAGAAGTGTATCTGTTTGTTGTGTATTTGCGTATATTCGATGATCGATTTGATAGTAACATAGCGAGTCAAAGCTTTCTCTTCTATATAGAGATATATTTCTAGAGTTACCCTTTATCCCTTTTAGTCAAAGCTCTTTCATCCATTGATCGTTTGTTCGTTTTAACTCCTCAGAGCTTAACCGATAGGAGAATTCTTAATAATATATGTTGTCTATGATTTCTGTCAACTATATAACCTGCATTTGATCCTTTTGATACTAAACAAAGATCAAGAATAATCCAAATGACAAAATTCAATTAATATATTATGAAGTCCTTTTTGAAATATTTTAAATTCATTATCAATTTATTCCTCGTGAAATATAATAATTTAAGCTTCATTATCAGCTTTAGTCATCGTTAAATAAATTGTACTCATTATCAATTTATAATCCTCTTTAATTATTATTATTTTTACTCGCAATCAGATTGTTTTAAATAAGGTATATGAACAAAATACTAATAATAATGAAAAAAATGATTTATGTTGTAGCTGAGTAAGATGAAAAATATGAACAATTTTATATTATAAATAAATTTTTTGAAAAAAGAAAGAGATAGAGAGAAATAAAATAAGAATGAAAAAATTAATTATATTAGTCTTTATCTAAAATTTCGAATTTCAAATGAAAAGTTTAAAAAGAAATAGTAGAAAATAGGTTGGTTTACGAGCGGTTAAAACAGAGACACTCGTTTTCCTTAATCGAACAAAGCGTATCCTGTAGAATGAGTTAAGAGATAATTAAGGTGATTCGCGACACTCGTTTCCTTCGTAATGGCATCGTCCAAGCAGTGAACTAAGTTTTCGCGAAGGAAGCATCTGGAGACTTGTTCTCTTCCAATTTCATTCTAATCGACTTTGAGATCGAGATAGAGCAAAGCTACGGATAGGATTTGTAAGAGAAAGATAAAAATAGAAAGGGTAGGTAGTGAGATCTTTTCCCATGAAGTATTTCGTTAATGAGAGAAAATGACAAGAAAATATTTGCTAGATAGAAAAATAAAACATTAAGCTTATATATATATATATATAAAATTAGATTTAACTAAGATTAATTAAAAATATCTTCTTTTGAAAATATCATTCTAATTTAATTCGAAAGAACTTGTACTTAAGACAATCGTTTATAATAATTATTTCAATTTAATTTTCTTTTATATTTTACAAGTTTACAATTTTATTCTTATTGTCATTATGATTAAGTAAATTTTATTTTATTCGTTTAAAAATAATAAATAAGAAATATTAAATTTATTTTTAATTTTTTTGACAAAATGTCAATTTTTTTATTATCTTTAAGAATATTTATTATCTACGTACTTTTTTTTATAAGAATTATAAAAACTTAACAATTTAACTCGAAATATGATATCCAACAAATTGGTTTATGAATATTTTGTGGTAGAAACCCATAGATAATAGACTTATCAAAATGTGAATATAAATATAAGAAGAAATATAAGTATCGATAGGGATAACCAATGGAATTACATCGTTGCTTTAGAAAGAAAAATATCTTGTATGATAAGAATTCAGATCAGATCTCAAGAGACGTAACCCATATAAATATAAAGGTATATTTTTGTCTTTTATTTTTTAACAGACCGAGATATAAGTTATTTAAATGTTTTTCTATAAAAAAAAATTAAAAAAAAAAAACGCATGAATTAAGATTTCCTCCCATTGAAATATATTTATTCTCATTAATTTTCAGAGTTTAATAAAATGATGATGAAAAAAAAAGAAAGAAAAACCCGTATAGGTAAGAGATTTAATAAGGGTTAGACTAAAGGGATTTAATTAGGAGAAAATTCGTAAAAGATTTCATCTAAGGGTCTTGAAAAGGGTTTTGTCGGGTCTTAGCCAAATAGCGCATATAGTCCGTTGGTAGTCCGAGTTAATTCCCTCCCACTAACTCTCCACTGCCTCCCTCCACACTCATACCCACCCATCCAACCTTACCCCACCTGACTAACAACATCGAGAGATAACGTTTCTCTGAGTCGGGGGATTGAATTAAACAGTGTAAGAGTAAGTGAATGGGTGAGTGAGAATGAGTGAGATAGTAAATGTTGTCCAGAACGGCCTGCACAAGCTAGGCATACCAACGATGCAAAAAGATAGACAGAGAAATAGACAGAGAAATAGAGAGAGAGAGAGAAAAGGGGAAAATGGAAATGTTAAGAGAACCAGAATTTTAAAGTATCCGCTTTAATAGCTAATGCAATTTAAGGAAAATCTCGTCAAACAAGATGGCAGTTTCTCGCGTTACCAGTAGACACTGTGGTGGTTTAGAGAAACGTATAGCAAACCTACCACAGCCATGAAAGGGGCCCAGAATCTGAAATTCTGCTAGCCACCAACGCCACTGTGGCTAACGTCTCTTCCGTTTGCATAGTTAAAGGAATAGCTCGTGTAATTACCGAAGTCCTGGTTTACTGCTAATTACCATCCCTGTTTGTGTTATTATTTTATTCGATTAGTTTGTATATATAATTTTTACTTTTTTCCTTTTTTTTCTTTTGTTACTTCTTTCTAAGAAATTAATTATTTTATCATAATATGTATCACATTGTATTTCAAGAAATTTTTGTCTACTTCGTATTGATTTGTTTCTTTTTCTTTTTTTTTTCGATATTTCATTCACTCCTTTGACACATATTTTCATAATTCTTTTTCATCCGTTCATCCAAATGGCAGAGATCTTGTCAAAGAAAGGAAAGAAAAGACTTAGTGATTCCATTATCGATATATATCCACTAGAAAAAGATCTTTCAAACAAAAAAGTAATAATATAATATAAATATATTGGTAATAATAATATAAAAGTAATAATATAAATAATATAATGTAATAATATAAAATAATATATATATATATA